CATCATTAACCCCTTAAATCTAAATTGGGCCACCACCTTAGAAGCCAAAAACTCCGGCCAACCACCGACCAAATTGTCGGACCTCCATACCACCAAAAAATCCTCACTCCTCTCTAGATATATCACCCAACATCCTCCAATCTTCATGCCAACAAATTTGATCAGAATTGCAAGCCAAAATACTAAACTTGTGAATCCAAATACCGACGACACCACTTGTTCTGACGACACCCATGCTATTCCCAACACACCAATCGACTATATTCCCCAGGACGCCTCTCTTCATGTCTTAAAATATCAACGGATGCACAAAATCAAAATCTACACCAACGACTTCCAATTTCTTATTGGACAATAACTAGCTAGAATTTTTGGGGTACATTAGTATGAAATTAATGGAAGCCCGTTGTTGTAGTAGGCACGGCATGATGTGGTGAAGCTGATGGGTGGTCCACGATAGTGGGAACCACTGTCGACATCGAAAATGACGAAAAAAGGCAGCTTGTTGCTATCTCGACAAGCTGCGTTTTTGGTTGATTTTGGCCATATAAATTTGTTCTTTGTTCAATTTGTTTATGGGAAAGTGTTTAAAGGTTGATAGTAGCTGTTTGTGGTGTGAGCTCCGATGTTTTAGGCGGTGGTTGGTGACATAGAGGTCGGCTACTCCACGAATCTCCAAAATAACAAGTGGGGTGGGGATGAGATGTGAGAAGAAACGTAGAGACGTTTTGTGCTATTTTTCTTTTCTTCTTTTGTTTTATTTAAATATAAGGTTATATTGGTCATTTTACATTAAAAATTGGTGAAGGGGAAAGAAGAAGAGTTCCATTTTTTTCCTTTGGGGCTTGGGCTGATAACTGGACCATGGGCCACTTTTTGTTTAAAAAAATTAGGCCAATAGAGGAAATCAATGAATGGTTGGTCCATCATCTACGATATTTTTCCTAACCCAAACTCCAAATCACCAACATTTGAAATCGACAACAAAGATGCAAAGACCCAAAGTGCAAACTTTTCCTTCCATTTCCATATTTCCATTCGAAGCAGAAGTAGTAGTCACAGCGCTTTCAAGTGGGAAGTGCCACTGTGTGAGCGGTGGATTGTGTGCGAACTGGTGCGAAATCAGGAGCAAATCTCAGACGATCGAAGCTGAGCAAGCAGTGTGGGTCTAAGGTAATTAAATTTTTTCTTCACTCTCTTGTTTTTTAAATTTATGGTTTTTCTTGAATTTTACTTATAATTAATCATCACATTAATTGAATTATAATTGTTTTTTCATGATTGAGTTTTTCAGATTATGAGTTTTTGCATTTGCTTTACCAGATTATGGGTTTTTGTTTATTAATTGGTATGTGCTGATAGGTGGTTGGATTAAACCAGTAATATTTTTATATAGGATCCACTCAACTTCTGCTCCTCTGAAACTAGTCTTGTAGTGAAAAATGATTGCAATTTTTGTTGTTCATTAAAGGGTTTTAAGTGATTAATTGAGATTGCTTATTTTGTCTTGATGTTGTTAGCTTTGTTCTTTAGGTTTATCTTGGTGGTAAATTATTTATGTAGCATGTCTTAAATTCTTTTAATTCGAATTGCTCTAAGCTTGATTAAGTACTTTTGTTGCATTATGTCATGGTAGAAAATCAAACATGTGTTTGATTGCTTTGTATCGTATATATTTTTTAAACATTTTGGATTGTATTGAACTCTATATATATATATATATATAATATATATATATATATATATTTACGTTTTAGTGCATTCACATATATATTGAACAATTTTTAATATTACTTAATCAAAATTTAATAAACGAACGGACTATTACGATCGTTGATTGTCGATGGTCAACGGTCAAAGTCAACTTCCATCATAACTAAACGCTGATGCTAGATACACCCCTAGGTGTAACTACATTTTTTTTTTTAAGTAAAGTGAACAATAATGTCTTATTATAGTGGTGGATGATAGTTGTGAATTTTAGAAAATGTGCCGATAAAAATATTGTTTAAATAATAATTTAAGATTTGCCAAACATGCACTATATCTTATAAACCGTCATTTATGTTTCTTTATTTATGTCCCGTTTTAGCAGGATGTGTACTGCATGCAAAAAGAATATACCCATTTCTGTCTCATTTTCTCATGCATTTGTCTCTTCCCCATCTCTCAAAGTCATTTAAATTGTTTTTCTTCTCTTGAATATGCAAATCAAATTCATTTTTTGTGCATTATTTAATAGATAAAATCAGATGTGTTCTAAATGACGGTGTCAAAGGCGCATCTAGACGTGATGCTCAACCAAAACATCAAGCCAAGTGGTTTGGTGCCTAATTTGGCAATCAACGGCAATCATTGGCCGCTAAGGCACAACTAGGCGCAATTATGCACGCATTATCATCCTTTTTTTAAAAAAAAAAAATTTAATATTTTGTATTTTTAAAAAATTATCAATGGCTAATTTTTTCATTTTACCCTAATTTAAAACAGCCACTTTATCAAACGACATGAATGACGAATTAGATTAAGAAGAGGACATTGAATGGGAATCCGATAAAGAGTTATAGATAAGATTTAAGTTTCTATACTATTTATTTACTATTTTGTATTTAAATTCGAAACTTATCTTTTTGTTGAAAACGTTGAAAAAATGTATAACGTTCCTATAAATCTGTTTTAAATTTTTAATGAGTATTATTTTTAATTATTAAATAATTTTTTGATTTATCAAAAATTAAAATAATATTAAAATAAGAAAATGCCTTTTTACGCTTTTACGCATAAGCCTGGCCTAACCTCGCGTAACCCATAACTTGGTTTCCACACATTACGTCTTTTAGAACACTAAATAAATGCCGAAAACTAAAAATTTTTAGGGTAAATTCCTTCAGGATCTCAACTTACTTTCAATAACTGTTAGTCTGTGACTGCCATATTTTCAACTTTTTAATAATCTGTGTGCAACATCTCTAAACGATAAGATAAAATAAAATAAAATAAAAAAGAATTTTGGATATCAGCAGCTCCCATAATGTGAAGGTGGTATGTACAAGACCTGGGAGCGAATTCACAATCGTATGGTTGAGCGACGATTATTTTCCGACTTCAAGTGTTAAACTTCCCCACATGTGACTACAAAGGGGGAAGGAAGCGAAAAAATGTTTGCATTTTTCCGAAAAACCTAACCATGACAAGTTAAATTTACAAACGTATCCCCACGTGATCATTCAACCTGTTGAGTCAGAATACCTCAAGCCTGATACTAAAAAATTTAGGACATAAATGTCTTAATAAAATATAGAAGACACGACTCACACTCGAGAAATATTGGAAAGGTAAATATTTATACCACAATTTTTATTAACTACACCATATTTTAATCTATAATATATTAAAATATCACATGAATGGCTTAAAATTCATTTATTTCAATAATGCCTCACTTTTCGTTTTCCGATATATAATAAATACTATACAATCGGTGTCATTTATAAAGTTCGTGTTATTAATTCTCAATTAATCATTCACATTAATTTAGATTCAATGAATCTCGACTAGCTGAATCTTGAATTACACGAATTTAGAATTATTATAGATGAATTTTATTCATATTTATGTATCTATAAATGTATTGAAATTTATGTATTAACAATTAATTTTTATGTATCAAATGTAATGTAAAAAAGATTTCTCATTTGTAGTATTTCACTATTAAAAAAAATTTGAATAATAGAAATTAAGTTTTAAGAGTACAATTTTCTTCTCTTAAATTTCTATGATAAATCTTATTTTCTTTAATTCGTCCAGAACCCATCAAATACTCCAACAAATTGGTGCCAAATATTATGTTTACATCACTTATAAAGTATTTTAGAATAACGTGTAATGCACGTTCAACTTTAATTAGTTATAATAAATATCCCTAAATTTTTCTTATTTTTACACTTATATTTTAAACTTTATTTAAAATTTTTATCATCAACCCTCTATAAATTTTCACATCCTGTCTACAAATATGATTTACGTTCAAGATAAATGATATAAGGGCCAAAAAGACATTATTGTCTCTAGTATTTTTAAATAATCGATTTAAATAATTAATATAAAAGTTAAATAAATATTCGTCCTTCTTTTCAATGAATAATGGTAGAATATTCGGATGAAAATAATGATTAGAGACAAAATATGTTAATCAATTAAAAGTTAAGAAGGACAATCCACCGAGAAAAAACATTGACGACGTAAAAGCTAAAATGAGAAAATATTAAAAATCTTTTTTTGAATTAAAATGTGGTGCAATTAAAAATGTTTTGCAAATAAAATTTACCCAATTGAAAATCTTAGAAAAATTTATCCTAATTTTATCACTCTCGTTGGTTTAGAGATTGTATCACAAAACTTTCAAAGTTGTCAAAATTTTAAAGGGTGTTTGAATCTCATTTCTCCGAAATAATATATTTCAAAATAATTGATTGCTGAAAAATGTGTAGTTAAAAAATAAATTTTTATTTATTTATGTACAATATTAATATTATTTTAATGAAAAATGTATAATTAAAAAAAAGAGAGAGAAATGTATAAAAATCAAACAAAATTTTAATAAAAGTTGATAAATATATTGTTGAATGTCATAAAATATGATTAAAAATTTAAAATTTGACAAGTTAAAAAATTGATAAAATTTTAACAAAAATTTGATTTTCAATATGGGATAAGAGAGAGATTTATTTATTTATTACTTTTTTCCCCCCCATTTTCCTTCTCATTTGTGGGTCAACTGCATACCTTGATAAATCATATCGGTAATAAAGGAGAGGCCAAAAAAAAAAAAAGTAAGGCAATAACAAAAGATTCATCAAGTACACTGTAATAGCTGTTAGTCTTGGCGAAATGATTGCGAGTTCTGTATTTATCCATGCAAAAAGTAAAAGAGATTTGAATTCTCTTTTTGACCAATCCACCATTCATAACTTTGAATTCCCTTTTTCATTTTATTGGGCTCATTCCATGCCAAATATTGGCGTCTGCAATGCTGATAGATTCGATTTTGCAGCCTGGAATGATTGCAGAGATGGTGAAATCCAATTTCCCACAGTAGTAGATACAGATCCATCATAAGCAGCAGTAGTAGCACTACTACTGTTACTATTTAGAGCAATTCCTTCCTGTTGCTGACAGTAATTTCCATTGAAGAACCCTTGATCAGTCTTGTTCTTGCTGGCTTCATTCACAGATAAATTTGTTGGGAAATTCATGCTGAAAGGTAAGGGTTGAAAAACGGCAGGATTAGACCAGGAATTTGCAGAATCTTGCTTTATGGGCAATCCAAAGCTGAGGGTGGAAGCTGTTGGAGGATGGGAAGAATACGTGTTCGACGAAATGTCTGAGTGAGGTCCGTCGAAACTTTTACTCTCCGATAAAGATTCGGATGACGTTTTTGGTTTGTTGTTCAAGCCTCCAATCGGAAGATTGCTGCACGCTATGCTCTTTATATCGTAACGGCTCATGTCAAAATTTGTCACTGCGTTTAGGCCTCGGAATTTGATTGCAGCAATGTCGTAAGCCTCGGCTGCTTCTTCTTGAGTGCCTGCA